AGAGAGAGAGAGAGACATCAGTGATGAGAGAGAATCATGGATCGGCTGCTGCCTGCACGCCCCACACTGGGGATGGAGCCTGCAACCCGGGCATGTGCCCTGACCGGGAATCAAACCGTGACCTCCTGGTTCCTAGGTCAACACTCAACCACTGAGCCTCGTCGGGCAGGTGGAGCTTTTCTCTGTGAAGGGCAGTTGCCGGGGGGATTCTGCCAGGTGGAATGAGGGTTGGCTGAGGGGTGTTCACGAAGGTCTTCTTTGGGTGTCTGGGTCGTTGGGAGGACACTGTGATAAACCTAGAGGTGGCTGGGACGCAGTGTGTCCCCATCCCTCTGGGCCAGGGGATCACAGTTCCCAGCATGGTCCTGGGCAAGGGCAGGGATCCGAGGGGTTCCTGTTGGCACAGACCAGGCCTCTGCAGGCCACGCTCCCTGAAGTGCAGGTGGGTGGCCGGCACACAGGGGCTCAGTTTACCCGCCTACTGACTTCACCCACCATCTGCTCTCGGTGTTCTGTGAAAACAAACAGGCGCCTGTAGATAATGGGAGGATTGACTCTAGGTACCTCCGAGCAGTCACCGTGATAGTGCCACTCATTGTGGGCACAGGGGGTGCAGGGGCACAGGGGTGTAGGGGGTGCAGGGTGGGGATCGACGTAGGCAAGCCCAGCAGTGCTGGCGACCTCGGAGGGACCACATAGTACCTGCTCCCCCATCGGCCTGTGGACAGTGGCTCACACCGCGGGGACCTGGTGGTGATGATAGCGGTAGCCGTGGTCACAGGCGTGGCTGTGTATTAAGTGTATTAAGAACCATCGCTCCTGACTGCCCCGTGGGCGCGTGATCTCAGGTGCAGACAGGCTGAGTCACAGGCTCCAGACCTGACAGCTGAGCGTGGCCGGGCCGCAGCCCCAGCGGGTCTGTTTGCTCCCGGAGCTCATGTCCTTCACAGCGACGGCCTGTCACCTCCCCCGGTGACCAAGTTAGCCAAGTCACCGCCAGGGTGTACCCGGCAACGGCTGCATTTTGCTGCACCTAAGCTCTGGCTCCAACCATCTTCAGTAATAAACATTCACAAACACCACACGTTCACTCGGGGCGGGTGAGAGCACTGCTGGTCGCTCAGCGCCAGCTGCAGTCAGTGGTGGAAACCCAACATGCGGCAGCCGCCTTTGCCATAGGCCCGGCTCCCCTCCTGCACCGAGTGGCCCCCTCGTGGCAGAGGCTGGCTTCCAGATGCTGTCACCCCATCTCTGCTGGGGCCTGTGGCATGCGCACTGTGTGGCACGCTGCTGTTTTCTCCTTTAACCTGCTCTCCCTGCCTGGCTTTGGTGACAGTCTCTGCTTTGTCCCCAAAGCCAAGTTTAGGGTCTCAGGCCACAGGTGTGCTGTACGTGTCCAAGCCCAGTGTGGGGTGACTGCTGAGGAAGGTTGCACTCCTGGGGAAGGGCTGTGTCCCTGGGGGAGGCCTGCTCCAGGCCGGAGCCTGCCAGGCCCCCTGGCCGCAGAGGAGTTAGATGGGGCCCTCCGCCCGCATTTTTCTGACAGTCCAGGGCAGCAGCTCCGCGTCCAGCCATCACCAAGATCCAGGGGAACGTGGCCGGTGCAGCCTTAGTTTAACGCGCAGTCCCTGCCAGGCCCCGTCAGCGGGTCTGTGTGGAGCTGGGAGTAATGGGCCGTGTCATGCTCTGAGCTGGGCAGTGACTTATGTGGGTGTCACCCCCTAGCTTTTTATGGAACTTATTAATAAATCAGTAATTCCATCTGCAGGGAAGTTGTTGTGTTTATAAATATTTAATTTACCTCCAGGTGCCCACATTTTCTCCATCTTTGCCTCAACTCTGCTGACATGGCTCAGCTCAATGGATTAAGTTATCGGTGTGGGAATGATCTCTCTCTCTCTCTCTCCTTCTCTCTCTCTCCCACTTTCTCTCTCTTCTTCTCTCTCCCCCCTCCCTCTCTCTCTGTCTCCCTCTCTCTCCCTCTCCATCTCCCTCCCTCTCACTCCTTCTCCATCTCCCTCCACCCCCCCATCTCCCTGGAATGTGAATTCACCGTGTCTGTGAGATCTCTGTGTGATGGGCTTGGGTTGGGATCGAGCTGGGAGAGCCAGCGTCTCTGTGACACTGTGAAAGGCCAGTCCGGCTTCGGAAGAAGACAGACGGAACTTTCCGAGGGCGACCTCGCGAGTGGAGACCTGCTGTGGGCATGCGTTTCCCCCTTTTCAAGTCGATGACATTGAGAATCGGCAGTGGTGTCTGACGTTCCCACCCACAGAGAAATAGCTTAGTCCCTGCCACCCATTCATCTTTGAAAGCCAGTGCTTAGCCGACTGCTGTGCGGCAGGGTGAATGGAAAGGGCTTTAAACAAATAAAATGGACGCAGCCCACGTGGCGGTTTCCCTGGGGTGTGGGTCCAGCCCCGCAGAGGAGGCAGCCGCCGGGCACCGGGCACAGCGGAACGTCATCTCTCAGCACCCAGTGGCTAACCGTAGTTATTATCTCTCTGTTCTTCTGTTTCAGGAAATCGCAGCTTATTTAATCACGTTTGAGAAGCACGAAGAATGGCTCACCACATCCCCTAAGACAAGGTAATGCCCGGATCTCGCCGCTTTTCCGATACGCACAGTAAATGGGTTGATTTTCATGGGTTGCCTGATCGGGCCGGCCGGTCAGGTCCCGGGCGAGTGGAAGTGCCACGTTGTGTGTGATGGCTCGTGGCACCGAGGGCGTGCTGATTGGCCCGAGACCGTGGGCGCGAGGGCAGGGTGGTCCCACAGCGGCCAGCAGGCGGAGTGGTGCTCTCTCCCTGGCGCTCACCGCGCCCCCTGCCTGCCGGGCGCCCTGCGAGCCTCGGCCCGTGGGAACCTCAGGGGCGTTTATTTTGGGAGCCTGCCCACCTGCCACCCGTGTTGTCTAGAGACTCACTTTTTAAAAGGGAACCCCTGAACGGCCCACGTCCATCCCAGTGAGGCTTACAAATGGAAATTGGGTTATTCCTGGTGGTCAGGAGGCCTCCCAGGCCAGAAGCAGTGGCTACGCTTGCGGTTTATGACTCGGTAAATGTCCTTGAACCTGCAACTGCCACAGACACCGACCTTTTCCCACTGCCCGCGGCGGGAGGAGAGGGCTTGGCTGGCGCGGATATGGGGACCTGCGCTCTGCCCGGCAGAGGGTGGGTGTGTGACAGCGGCCATTCAGGCTTATTTGACAGGCAGCCTCCTCCCTCCTCCCCAGCTCTTGTGGCCCCGCCCCCATTGCCACGGCTTTCCGGTGGGCCGTGCCGGGCAGGTGTTTGTCGGTGTGGAGAGCGGGCTTATGTGAGCGCCGGGCTGAGGGCTGGATGCAGGATGTGGGATGCTCCATCCGTCTCACTTTGGGCAGAAGCACAAGATCTTCCCGGTGTGGGAAGTGGGACCAGGGTGTGTCTGCTGCCCCCGTGGTCAACGGCCCAACCCACTCTTCCTTCCTGAGCCCTGGAGAGAGGCTCTGGCGTGCTCGTTCCTTCTAGAAGGCACTTGCAAGGGTCCCTTCCTCAGGCACGGGCTTCAGTGGTCAGCGTCCTTCAGGTGGCAGCGGAGTCGCAGAGGCCGAGGGTGTTGAGGAGAGGCTGGTGCCCTGCGTCTCTGGGCGGGCAGAGGCGGCTCTGCGTCTCGCAGCTCTCCCTGAATTCCGCTGCGTGTGTCCTCACCCCCCAGCCTCCTGGGCTAGGGTTTCCTTTGCTAGAGAATCAAGTGGTTTGTAGCAGTCAGCTTTTGCCGTGATGATGCTGTGTAAGAAGCAGCCTCGCACTTAGGGACTCGCAGACTTTGATGTCCTGCACACAGGTCTGTGTTGGCTGTGGCTTTGGGGTGTGGCTGGGAGCACTCGCCGTGTCCTTTCGCTCACTGTCTGGGACGTGTGGTTCTCCCGGGGGTGGCTGCAGCCTAAAGCCCCGGCCAGTCCATGCCTGAAACCCTGCTGCTGTGGCGTCTGTCACGCCTGCTCCATTGCCAGGGCAGTTCCCTTGGCCAAGCCCCAGAGAAGACTGTGGGGTGGGGGCGGGGTGAGGAGTGAATGGAGACACAGTTGACTATTTGGGGAGCATAGTGTTTCTCAAACTGTGGAGATCCTGGCACGTTCATCCCTCTCCTCTTCTGGGGGCATTTCCTTCCAGGGCGTGATTCCCAAACTTGAGCGGCATGGGAGTCAGCGGGATGCTTGTTAAAATGCCCATGTTAACACCCCAGAGTTCACTCAGTAGGTCTGGCTGGGCCCGAGCACCTGACATTTCTAACAGGTTCCAGGATGTGGCCTACCTGGGACCCCACTTTGAGAACCCTGTTTCCTCGGGGAGAAAGAGGTCTGATTTCTGCCTCTGCCCGTCCCCGACGCCCAGCAGCGGGGTTCACCCTGAGCAGCCCCAGCCTCTCTGCGCCCTTTGCTCCTCTGCACCCTCCTCTCCTCTGCGCCCCTCGCTCCTCGGGGAGACTCTCCTGGATCCAAGGGGAGGGAGGAGCTCTGTTTAGGCAGCAAGTGGGGTCCGGGCGGCCAGCTGACTGCAGGTGTGCAGAGGCGGGCCTGGGCCTGCTGCGGCCACCGTTCGATGGCAGAGCAGTCGACCAATTCAAGGCGGGGCCTGGCGGGGCGGGGGGGCGGTTCTGCCTTGTGTTTCAACCTTAGAATTTGGGTTCCGACTGAGAAGTGAGTGCCCCTCGGGGTCATGCCTGACTCACTTGGCTTTTTGGAATCTAGTTGGAGCCAAAGGGCTTCGTATCTCGGGGCACAAGGGGCAGCGTGGCTGAGGGAAAGGGGTGGGGTCAGGTCCTGACAAATCCGATCTGAGCCCCCCCCCCCCCCCCCCCCCCCCGTATACTTTATTTTTATTGGTTTTAGAGGAAGAGAGCCATGGGGCGAGAGCGGGATGGGGGAGGGGGCGGGGGGGAGAGAGAGAGAGAGAGAGAGAGAGAGAGAGAAGACATAGATTATTTGTTGTTCCACTTATTCCTGCATTCATTGGTTGATTCTTCTATGTGCCCTGACCAGGGATTGAACCCAAAACCCAGGCGCATCGGGATGACACTCTAACCACCTGAGCTGCCGGCCAGGGCCACTTCAGTCCCTTTTAAAGCCCCCCTTTTCTTGCTCACGGACGGAACAGAGCTGACGCCGAGCCTGTCCTCATGGGGCCGCGATGAGGACTGAGCGCTGTAACGTGTGTGACCTTGCTTTGCACGCCGTGAGGTCGGGCGATGCAGGGATAGCGCAGTGCCTCCTGCCATTGAGGGGCGGTCCCAGGGCTGGAGGCCGTGGCCTCGGGAAGCAGCTGCCAGGGTCCCCGCGGATGGACGGACGGACGGAGGGACATGGGCAGGACCGAGATGGAGGGCGGAGAGCATTTCCTGTTAGTGCCAGGCTCCCCGCTCTGGGAGGAGGAGAAGTTGCTGCGGTTGTTCAAGGACCTTCCTCAATTAGTTGTTGAGTTGAGTTCGGGTCCCCCTCCCGTCTCCGCTGCTGAAATTAATCGGTGCGGTTAACTGCTGAGCTCATGCCCACCGGCCTCCTGGTATTAGGGAATTAATGGCACCAGTGCTCGGCTGAACGAGGAGGCAATGCAACTCCTGGCGGCCGCCGCCGCTCATTCCATTTTGGAAAATTAATAAAAATGAATTGCACCGCTGACATTTATAGAGTTTCCTAATAAAGTGATACATTGTTTGTGTGGCGGAATCCCTATTAAATTAATTGTCGTAATCAGTGCATATAGATGCTGGTGTAGGGGCTGGGGGGGACCAGTCCCCGTCTCCGTGGCCTTGCGTGGATTCTGCCCTAATTACAGAGGCGCCCGGGAGCCGGCACCTGTTTAATAAGGAAGTGCTCCCGGAGGTGGCCGGGGCGGGGCTGCGGGCACAGAGGCTTCCGGAGGGCCGAGCATCGAATGTTCCATCAGCTCATGTGGTAGCATGAGCAGCGGGGACCTTTGGAAGTGGCCATGTGAGATCCGGGATGCCCTTCCGTGGCACTCGCTGTGTGCTCAGCGCTGTGTAACACCATTTGCAGACCCGGGGAGCGCCCCGCGCCCCATCCCACGGGTGAAGTTCGCATCTTGGAGTTGAGAGCTTCCTCCCTCTGTTAGAATGTTCTCCCAGCTCCTCCTTCCCACCTGATTCGGGGGTCACTTCCTGAGAGGTCATCCCTGAACACAGTCTAATATCACACCCTCCCCCAGCCAGACTCCGTCTCACCTCCTTCTATGTTTCCCGAGAGCCTCACCACCATCGGACACTGTCTTTCCCCGCTTCTCTGGTAATTCGTTCCGTCATTTCTGACCTCTCTTCCCCAGAGCGAGCAGGCCAAGAGGAGGGGGATTGCGGTCTGGCTTGGGCGTGGCGTGTCCCCCTCACCACCTTGGGGCTGGGCACGTGGAGGGCGCCCGCGCACATGCCACCCCAGGCTGTACACGTGGAAGGAGGAGGCCTGCTTCACCTTTCATTTTGTCCTGCACGTCTCCCCCAGGACCGGCTGCTGGGCCCAGCACTGTGCTCTGTTGTTATTTTCCTGCTCAATAGTTATTTTTTATTATTAGATTCTAAGAGAAATTCTTTTTTTTAGAATTTTTATTGAATTTATTGGGGTGACATTGGTTAATACAATTATATAGGTTTCAGGGGCACAATCCTGTAACACATCACCTGTACATTGTATTGTGTGTTCACCACCCCAGGTCAAATCTCCTTCCATCACCTCCTCCCTCCTCTCCTACCTCCCCCACCCCTTTCCCTCTGGTCATCACCATCCTGTTGTGTGTCCATGAGTTTGGCTGTTTCTGTTTTGTTGTGGTTTTTGCTTAATCCCTTCACCTTCTTCATCCAGCCCCAACCTCCCCTCCACCCCCCAAAAGCTTTCAGATTGTTCTCTGTATCTATGACTCTGTTTCTATTTTGTTTGTTAGTTTATTTTGTTCATTAGATTTCACATATGCGTGAGATCATGTGATACTTGTCTTTCTCTGACTGGCTTATTTCACTTAGCATGATACTCTCCAGGCCCCTCCATGCTGTCGCAAAAGGTAAGACTCCCTTCTTTGATTTACGGCTGAGTAGTATTTCACTGTGTAAATGCCCCACAGCGTTTTCATCCCCGGCGCCATGCTTCGAAGTCCTTTCCACAGCTCTGTGGGCAGTGAGTCACGGAGAGGGTGCAGGGCCTGTCGGGCTGCCCAGCGAGCGTCGGAACTGGAGTTGAAGCAGGATAAGGCCGCAGTCTTGGCTTTTATGCCACCCTGCGCTGTGCAAGGGATGTGGGGACCGGGGGTGCTCCCTGGTCCTCTCCACCTCCAGCTCCAGGACTTCTGAGCCCCTGGGACCAGGCACCAGGCAGGGCCTCTGTCGGTGCGCAAGGCTCAGATGCCTGGCCAGGTGTGCTCCTGTGTTGTGTCCTGAACTGGATTCGGCCCCCAAGTCGCAAGCAGAATGGGAGGAACGCACTGTCCCCCTATATTTCAGAGAGGAAGGGAGAGGGAGGGAGGGAGAAAGAGAGAGAGAGAGAGACAGAGAGACAGAGAGACACGTAGACATCAGTGAGAGAGAACCATTGATTGGCTGCCTCCTGC